ACTTACTGGACACGTTCTTTATAAAGGTTAAAGCTCTCGGAGCCAATGAGGGTGTAGGGACTCTGCTGTGACTTGCTACTCCACATGCTCATTTAATTTAATTTCCCTGCCTTTTGTCTGCAGAACACCTTCTACCCCTTTCAGCAGTAAAGAGCCAAAAGCCCAAAGCTAATATTTATGCTTCAGATCTCCTTGATGATGCAATCCAGCAACAAATCACTACTTAAATAATCCAGCCATTTAATCATCCAGAAATGTGTAGAAATAAGAGGATTAGCCTCCTATCCCAGGGAATTGTATTTTACAGACTCTAGATTTTTCCTAATAAAACAACAAGAGCAGCTCATGGTATTTTCAATATAAATCCAAGTACCCAAAGCTGCAGAACAAGCTGCTGGGGCAGGAAAGGGCTGCTTCACCACTGTGTCAAAGTTCTTGCTGACTGTGCCATTGGAGAGAGCTGAGCTGCTGCTGGGATGTGAGATCCCCACACCTCTGGGCACAGCGGACCCCCCTGCAGGGTTCACACTGCTGGGCATCAATCTGGGGCATCCCAGTCGTGCCAGTGCTGTTTTCCTGCAGCCAAAGAGATGATGAACTCTTTCCTACAGCAGGCTGTTCTCCCCTGTGCCACCACAAGAGTGTTTTACTCATCTTTTTATAGGCGCTTCGTCCACAAAACTGAATATAAATCAGGGACGATGTAATTTTAGCATGTGGGAGGATTATTTTTAACAGCCTCTGAGCTCGACATAAATCAGGACAGAGGCTGCAGACAGACGCTGCACGCAGGACGGGCAGAGCCGCTCCTTACACTGCTGGGAGCAACGGGCAGCCCTGGGCTCACCCTGCTCAGCCCAGCACTGCGGTGGGGGATTCCTGCACATAAACATCTGCCCTGTTTACAAGGAGGGATCAGGCCCTGTGCTCGATGCACGCTGCCAAGCTGGCAGCCACCAGCGTCCTTCAGATGCAAGGTGACAACTGCCCCGAGCAGGGCAGTCAGGGTGGCTTTCATCAGGCTGGCAGAGCAGCACAGCAAGCTGTGATGCCATCCCTGTGCTGCACCACCCTGCTTGTCCAGCGCAGGCACTGCCGTTTGCCAGCAGTTCATCCACTTCCACAATTTCAAGAGGGCCGCTCACTCCTGCCAGGATTATTGCTTGTAATTATTCATGCTGTGCTGTGAGCAGTGAGGCTTCTCTCGGAAGAATAGCAGCTCTGCTTCCAATTCCTTCGGGCCACCTCAAGATGACTGCTGCCAGCTCTGAAGAGCTCTCAGCCTTTGTGCCCAGCCCCCGGGTGCCACGCACACAGCTCTGGCACATTGAGTCCTGCTGGCAGCCTGGCTGCTGGGATGCAGAGCTCACCCTGCTATGGGCCACCACCAAGAAACTGCCCCACTGGAAGGCAACAGAGGCCACACACGTTCTGCAAAAATCAGCGTTGGATGTGACAGGGACCACAAAAGGGAGCAGCAAGCAGGGCAGAGCTCACTGCGAGAAAGCTCCTTACACCAAAACCCACTGCTAGGAAGTGACTGCTGGGCAGCCAGCAGCAGCTGCTCCCCGATCCTCAGCTCTGTCCTGGGGGAGGCACAGCCAGGAGCCCAATGCCTGCACCGCTGTCATTACGGATGGAAGGACAGAGCAGAGATGTGGTGGGAATGGAGCACAGCTCCTGGGTGATGCCTCCACCCTGTGCCAGCCCAGCAGCTGCTCGCAGCCAGGATGAGGCAGCGGCAGCCAGCAGCTCCAGCAGTGCTCACGGCCCCACTGCAAGTGCTCTGCAGTGACTTTAAGCTAAAGGATTCCACCTCAGACAACCCATGTCAGCCTCAAGTAGACAGTTTTGCTGGCTGGACCTTTGATCCCCGTCTGCAAATAGCTTCCACCAGGCAGCACGGGAGGATCCAGGGAATGGCAGGCCCTGAGCTGAGAACAGCTGTAGCTGCCGGGGTCAGGGTTGGAGCATGTTAGCATGCAAGTGTGAAGCACGCACGGGAGCTGCCAGGTCCAAAAGCAGACAGGCTCCTCCATATCAGCTTTTTCACCCCCTGCTCTCTGGCAGGCTGCCTAGCACGCAGGCTGAGTTCAGCCAGAACACTTTCACAGGAGCAGAATGCAGGCACCTTTTTTGCAAAGCACTTGGCAGGAGGAGCAGGCAGGGTAGTGAGGTAGGCAGTAAAATCCCGTTAACTTCACTGGGAAGAGTTCAGCTAATCCTACAGGCTTCTGGTGCTTACATGCTTAGCAGTGATTCACTGCCGTGGAGGCAAAGCAGTGGAACATGACCTGGAATAAGATTGATGCCCTGAACTTTCTTACCATATCCTGAACTGTTTTGAGACAGATTTCAGAAAAGCCCGGGTTCGAGAACAGATCTACTGCAGCTCACTGTGAGAAGTCTATGATTCCAGGGTCGAGCCTGCATGTTATTGTTCTGCTTTTTATTACTCAGCAGAGGCTGCAGCCAGTTAATGCCAAGAACATCCAAGCAACACAGGCAACAGAGCCCAGAGCCTTCACCTTATGCCAGTAGGAAACTCTGATGTTCCAGAGCTGGCAGGAAGAACAGGCAGCACTAACTGCAGACTTCAGCCCATTGTGGCAGGAATTCGTTACCTCAAAAGGTAAACACAAACTCAGTTCAGCAAACTGAATGTACAGCAGCATTTGCCAAGAATACCAAAGAACTTAACTGCAAGCAAACTAATTAAGATTCTTCTGACACCAGGCTGGCCTGCAGAGAGCACAGAGCATCCACCGCTCATCAGTTCTCTTCCAGAGAAGCTGACTTGAAGTGCTGAAACACTGCTGGCTGCGAGCTACAGGAACTAGAGACCAGGAAAACAAGCCTCAGAACAAAAGCATTGAAGAGCTGCTTTCACCAGTGGGCTCCATGCCTCTGCAAAACAGAGTGATGCATCCCACCGGAATAGGGTTTGATCCTGCTTGCCAATGGGAGGAGTGGCAGAAGGAACAAGAGAGCCTGCAATGAACTGGGAGAGCTCTGAGAGGAAGCTACTGGAGAAAGCAATTACCAGGATCTTCCCTGTTCAAGTTAATATTTTTTTTTTCAGAAGTACCAACACTGCATAATTTGCCATGCCTTTACGCCCCCTGGTTGCTGTGGTCCCATGTACAGCTGAGCTCTGCTGAGCAGCTTATTCAAGTATCCTACTTAGTGAGACCCCAAGATGTCTTTGTTTTAGAGCCCCTGCTTGGGGCTTATATATAACAGAGCCAACTTTCCCAAATCCTGCCCAACAATAACTGAACATTATTTACTCCACAGGGCTCCACTCTTCCCTGCTTCAAGTAACACCAGCCTCAGTTTGTGCAGAGCTCAAGGGAAAAATAAAGGTAAGCATTAGCACACAGCAAAAAACAAGCAAAGCCCCATACCTGCATTTCCAACCATTTCTTCCCCCCAGGAAGCTCAATAAAGGCTTTTCCACCCCCGCTGACAGCAAGTGGGGGAGCTGGCTGGGCCAACACAAGCAGAAGGCCTCGCTCAGCTATTGCACAGAGGAGCGTTGGTACAGGCAACCCTCCTACTGCGTGCTGCTGTTTGCTTTAACGCTTCCCACTGAATGTCAACGGAGACGAAAGAATGACAAGTACACAAAGATACCCACAATAAATGCCAGCCCTTGTTAGCTGAGTAAATTGTGTGCTTAGCTGAGTCTTAGAGGAATCTTTGCAGAGTAAACACCGCCAGTGCTATGTGCTAGAGTAAATATGTGAAGAGGACGCAAAGACACGAAGAACGACTTCACAGGAATGCAATTGAGTGGCACTGGATGCAATTCCTCCCACGGACAAGCACTGCTAGATCTGGGCCAGGAAACAGCTTGATATGCACTGAAATTCTGCCACCGTCACTAGTACAGGAGCCCCTGTGCCCTCCCCCCCAGGCTGCCAGGCCTCATGCTGCATCCATCCCAAGGAGCACAGAGCACACTGCTGAGCTCAGTTCCCTTCCAAACACAAGCCTGAGCAGCCAGCTCGCACAGAGCTCACAGGCAGCACGTGAAGAGCAAGTCACAGACTTGATACAACTTGTTAACAAGCTGCCACCTTCCTCACAGCACTGCCAAAGACACAGGCATCCTCCTTCACAAGGTCTCAGATTTGCTTTATATTAACCTTTATTTGGACAAGGCAGCTGCAGCAACTCCTCGTGCACCCTCATTCGAAGCATGGAGCTTCTGAGAAAAGCTCCTGCAAAACACTACGTGTCAAGACACAGAACTTCACAAGGACTGAGAAACAAACACTTCAGCCAAACATCCTTTGCCACAAGTGACAGAGAAAACAGCACATTGAGCGCCGAGTCAGAACTCCTCATTCATGTTGCTTTTGAAGCAACCCAGATGAAGCCACGTTGTGCAGCTACTGCTTTCTTTCACAAAGTTCTGAACACTTTCCCAAGGCTCCCTCCCAGGTTTCCCCACTCTCAGTACGATTTATGCTGATGACAGGGTGACTGAATCTAAATCAAAGAGATTATGCCTTTGATCGCTTGCTTATCGTTAATAGCAGCCAAATCATTTTGCTGCACGTAAAGGAGTTAATTTAAACACTTGAAAGAGGAGTACAGCCTTGACGAGTTTCTTTGTCTCTTATTTCTGCTGGCTGCCCTTCCTGTCCAAGGCAGGAGATGTGTGGCAGCGAGGACACAGTGCACAGGTTAGCAATGCCCCAAAACTCAGCAGTGCCCAAAGGAGGAATTCAGGGCAAAGCCAACCTCCGTGCAGGGCAGCTGAGCGCAGCATTCCAAGGCCAGCACCCCACAGCGGTTATTTCACACCACCTAGTGGCACTGGCTTGCCATGCCAGAGCTTCCCACTGCTCCATGACAGTACAGGATTTGCCCATTTAGATCAAACTCACAAAATCTCTCCAAGAAAAGAAAAGCAAAACAAACTGCAGGGCTTACCTTGGCTTTTGTAGTTTAGCATACAGTGGTGTAACGAAAACATGACCAGTAAGAGCCACTGAACAGAAGTATTTATTTTAACATGCAGAGCCACATATATAAAGGTCATCACCGTATCAGTGAGCACATCACTCTTTTACCCCATATCTACAGATGTAAAATACTTACTCATTTGCACCACAAAACAAAGTAGCCATGACGTCAAGTCATCATTACTCATCATCTTGGTATTCTCGCTTTGTTGCCACGAAGACTAGAAGACTGAGATTAAAATTGATTTCACAAGCTGATTCGTATATTAAATAAAGGGTAAAGAAATTTAGAATACCAAGCTGCTGCTGGCTACAATACATGAAATGGCATAGGAACACTCGTAAAGTGCATTACTGCGTCTGAGTAAATTGCAGCATTTACATCTCTTCAAAACAGAGCACCTGACAAGAAAGGGACAGTGACCAGAGCACAAGTACGTCCTATGGAGAGCTGAAATACATGCAAGGCAGAAGCCTCGTGTCGTTACTCTATAGAAGATACAGCTTAGTAATGAGGGCTTCACAAATACAAGACAGAAGGGTTTCTTCAGAAGCCCACAGGGCGCAATGGCAGAACCTCCCACTGAAAGTATTTGCACCACTCGCCTCCTCGGGTTTGCAAAAAGTATTTTCCATGTAACCATTGCCCAGCATAGGCCAGTATTAAAAAAAATACAAGATGGTAGTGATAACAAAGCAGTTAGTTTATCACTGGCAGCAGGTAAGTGATAAAAATCAACGGGATCCCAGCGCAGCAGGACGTTAAGGTCATGGCTTTCTTCGCCTAGAAGAAAAGAAGGCAATCAAACAACTTTCAGATCTTACACAGCAGTCGTTTTCTGTAACAGCAGTCAATAACTCATTTATTTGTACTGCTGCGTGCATAAATTTAATGCGCTTCCTGTGCTGAGAAACACTGCAAGCAAACTAAAGAACTTATTTACCCAGAAACAGGCGAATTCTGTTTTCTTGTTTTTAAAATAGCTTAAAAGTAAGTTTTATTTCAATTTATTAACTTTAAACAAATAGAAGTTGCAGTTCAATACATGGGAAAACAACAGGATTGACTACAGTACTGTAAGGCTGCTGCAAGGCTGCCAGTAGCAGCAGGCAGCCTGGACAGGTTCTGTGAGAACAGCAACATTTGGGCCCTTACCCAGAACAGCAACCACTCATTTCTGAAACTCCCCAGAACACCTTGCCACTACAGTCCTGAACCCTTTTCGTACAAATAACACACATCACACAAGAGATGAGAAGCTGTGCTTCACTAATTCTTACTATTTGGATTCCAAAGATACTCAGTTTGGGTTGCTTTGGCTTTGTAGAAACCTCTTTACTTCTCCAGCCCTCTCTCCTCCCTGTAAACATGTCTTGCAAAGCTGCAAATTGTCTTCCCCTGAGTTGAACAGGTGACTTCCACAGCACTGCCAGCACCTATCTGCAAGAGTCCAGGCCTGGGTACTTAGTTCTGTTCTGCAACATCTAGTTTAGCAAGACTAGATCATGTGCAACGTTTCTTTTATAGGCAAGAGATTTATTTTTTTTACGATGTCTGGTTGAAGAGTTAGGCACCAACTTCAAGCACATCGTTTCAACTTCTACAAATTGAGGCTTCTGATCTGGTATGGGTGCTGTGTAACTGCAGCTCTGACCCCATCACATTAAAGATGGATGAGAGCCCTGACCAACTCAGATTTATCCATGCGCGTCAAGAGGAAGAAAGATTCTTCTGGCATGATTAAGCCCATGCTTCCTCAGCAGATCTCTTAGCAGTTGCATAGCAGGTAGCAGCTAAAATATTAGCTGCATTCAGGTATGCTATTAAGCATATCCAATGATTCCCTCAGCTGAGGCACTCACTGAGGCACCAAAATGAATGGTGAGGTATCTGTAACCTCATGGCAATTTATCTAAAGAGACAAAGATGAAGGTTTTGTTTTAACTACATCAGAATCTGATAAAGGCTCGAGGGACTGGAGAAGGACAGTGCAGTCCTATGCCACTGTCACCTTTGATCCCACTCCAGTTGTGACCTGCCAGGCATGCTGCACTCCCCAGCTTTTTGCAGTCCAGCTAAGAGCACTCTGAATTGCTGCAGCAGGACAAGATCAAACCTGACGTTCTGCTCACAGCACTAAATGCCAGAGAACGTGCCAGAACACATCTTCTGGGTAGAAGTCCCCTACAGATCTGTACTGCCAGTGTTTCCAACACTCAACAAGCCTGTTCACTTCACAGTATAATAAAAACGTATGCATCGCAAACCCAAAGCAGGAAGGGCAACAAGGTGAAGGGGAAAAAAAAGGGTTGTCTCACCTTCGGAGTTACCAGGAAAGAGAACAATGTACCAAATAGAGAGGAGAGGCACTTACTTGGGCTGAGCATGATGCTGATATCCAGGTCCAAGGGTAGATCCTGCCCTCATTTCCACTGCCACAGAACACTGAGAAGACACAGACAGTCAGTCTCTAACCCTGACCCGACCCAGCTACGAACACTACTCCAAGCCCTTATAGAGATCAAACATGAGATCTCTCTCCCTCCTTTGTAGCTTACTCTGGTTTCCACATCTGTCCATTCAGAGTCTGCAGCATCCTCTGGTGGATCAGCATTGGAAGGCGACGATCTTCGCTTTCGACTGTAAGACAAGGATGGGGAAGAACAAGAAGATGTTACAGGAATGTCAGTTTCTTTAAAGAATCTACAAGATTCTCATGCACAATAGAATACATTGTGTAGTTTTTCAATTAAGTGCTTTTTCTCTCAACAGCAGACGGGCCATCAGTGCCTAAGAGCTCCTCAAAGTTACTTTCATATGATTTTGAGTTAGCCACAACTACTATTTACTCAACCATTTGGACCAGAATCAGTTACACACCAAGTACCAAAGTTACACATTACCAACAGAACCAGAGCCCAAAGTTAAGGGCACAACTCACCCAGTTGGAGATTCTTGCTTCAGAGTCTCTATCTCTGTGAACTGCACAGCCTGTCCACCACCTCTGGTTTTGAAAACATCACCCTGGGAGCCAAAAGCAGTTAAGAAGTTACAGCCATGAGGTTCCTGTGCCAGCTGCACTGTCAGTTTTCACACGAAAACTTAAGCACTTACTGCTACAGCTTTCCTTCAAGTTAGTAAGCACACATCTGCAAGAGTTCAAAGCTTAAGTCATCCCCCCAAATTGCTCATTAGTTGCATTCCAGGAATTCTGCTATGGAGCATCTGAGCATCCATCACTGCAGCCACCTAAATCAAATGCCATTCCAACAAGAGCAACTCTGCAAGGTGAGCTGCAGTCACAAGTCTTAGAAACTTTCATTATGGATGGATTGTTGTGTTTTAGTAGAGGGGAAAACAAACCTTCATTACTTTCAAGTAATAAGTATGTGATGATGATGCATACATAAAATAATGACAAAGTTCAAGAAAAGCATTCTCAGACTCTAAAACCTCCCTTGAATTCGACAGCACAAAACTTGCAAGTCCATTCTCTTAGCACATGCAGTCAAACACACCTTTCTGCAAGGCACGAGCCCGTAGCACAAACACATTGCCAGAAATAGGATTTGACAGGGTTATCACAAGTTCACCACGGAGGTGTTTGCTTTACCTTAATTAGTTTTGTTTCAATCTCCCCATCAGAGGCTAGCTCCTGGTGCGTCAGCATGTACTTGTCACACTTAGCTAGTGCCTTTTCACTTGCAGCTGCTACTGTGATGGCATGAGGGACATGAGGCTGCATGACTGTGTCAGTGGGCAGATTAGAAGGTGGCTTATGATCTACCCATCTCTCCCCAGCTGAGCGCGACCGTCTGTGTCTGAGACGAACTGGAGGTGCGTTCTGATCAGAGTGGGAAGAGAATCAGAAGAAATCAGCACACAGCAAGCTTCTGAAAGGATCATCATTAGCAAAACTGATTTTTGCAGGTCTGGTTAAGATGCATTTATCTGAAGATCAAAGCTTTGTTCCTTTCAGAATCCACCCTGAAACGCACTGTTACCGTGAGCCTTGCAAAAATGCTTAATGGATTTTACTTCTGTGCCAATTATTTCCCACTAATTTGATGTCGTTTCATCCAATCGGTTGCATTCCCCACATGGCAGGGTTTCCTCAAGGAGAACATCTTTCTCTTTGGCAGCACTCCTCCCAGATTCCCCTGATCTGATTGCCACGAACATATTAACCGACCTGAAAAGATAGATTTGGAAGTGCTTCCACAGATGCACTAATGGATCAAGATGTAATCTTGATGTAGCAAAGGAAACAGATTGAGTATGGCTTTTCAACAGCTGTGGAAGACACAAAGCCTCTGTTTACTCAGAAGTATTAAAAGCAGAGAAAAAGGAAGAGTGCCCATTGCTAGCATTTCTGCTTGTGAGCCCAGCTGCTGGAAACCCACAAGAAGCAGGAGGTTCACAAATTTCTAACTTACATTCATGAACATTGCCAGTTGCTCAGGTAAACCAGAAAACAGTTTGTTTAAAAACCTGGGTCCTTTCAAAATCCCCGAACGGGCATTTGAAAAGAATGCTGCAGGCTCCCTCTGTTCTGTTTGCTCACTAGTGTACAGCTCTCTGTGAATCACAGTGATGTTAAATAACCCAAAGCTATGAGTGCAAATCCCTTCACTGTGCTTTCAGGTGATGCACAGCAATTGGGATTTCTCTCAGCAATGGAGATGAGGCTAGCTGTGTCCTTTGCAGGTTGAGCTCTTACAGAGCTAAAGCAGCTTCTAAAGATTAAACGTATCTAGAGATTCATGGCTTCCAAAGTTGTTTTACATGGAAAATTAGGAATAAAACACTCAAGATCTCTTCTCTTTTTAGTGGAGAAGTGTAACTCTGCCCTAGAAATCTGGAAATTAAGTCCAAAGGAAGACATTACCACCAGTCACGTTTTATTGTGGGAGAGAACACCTCCCATAACCTGATGCTGGTGATTTGTGTTTTAGTTAATTGGAACAGCATCTGTTTAAACCACGTCCCACACTTCAGAGGGCTGGGACTAGCAAGCAGCAGGAATTCTGAAAACAATACCCAAAGTAAAACACCATGATAAGCTTCTCCCTTCTCAGGAAGCCCTCTCACGGGCTCTGATCCTGGGAGCAGGATGTAATACAATCCTCACAGATTTACCTGAGCCACTGTGACAGTTACATCACGACAGAGACACCACCATACAGACATTTGCACACAGCAATTTAATGAAAAAGCATCTCTCGACTATAAGCAAAGCCCCCCCAGTTCTAATGCAGATGTGAAACATTGGAAAGACTATTCTAGGAGAGCAAAAGTTAACAGCTACTCAAGTGAGAAATTTGTCCAAGCACTATTTCTAGTAGATATTTGCATGTGGCTGGCTCATAAGACCACCTTTTAAGCTGCCCAAAAAGGACTGTGGTAAGTTACAGGCTGTAAGACAGATTTGAGGAGACAGACACAAATTAAAACAAAGACACTTAGAGCTAGAAAAAAAAAAAAGGCCCGGTTAGTTCAGAGTTCCTTTCCACAGCTATCTACACACTAATGAGAAACAGAAATGCTTTCTAAAGATTTTTAGATGCCAAATCAAAGATTTAAAGAGTAATAGTGAGACTCAGCTTGGGAACAGCACTGCCCTGTGAGAAATACGTTCAGGGGAAAATTCAAAAGTCTCTTTTACACCCAACGTAAGGAGCAGCTGTGATGGACTTCTGAGCCACACTAACACTACACGTAGCTTTTGACAGGAGCAGCACTAACCCTGCAGCATTGATCCTCTTCTATCTCTAGCTCATCTCTACGTTTGGGAACCTCAGTGATTCCAGTCCAGCACATCCCTCGCCTTCTGTCTGAGGTGTTACAGTCTCTACTTTGTCCTGGTTCTTGTTGTCTAGTCCTTGTTTTAGAATTGCCACCGGTATGCTTGTGTGAAGGGGTTTTCTGCTCCCATTCCATAACGCAGGAAGCCACAGAAATGCTGCTACAGGAATTTGAACGTCTGTGCAGCTGCTGGTTGCTCACGAGCCGCTGGCTGTTAGGAACCTGAGTGATAAAGTTACCAGAAGGCTAAAGAGAATGGGAAAGTTAACGACACAGAACTATCAACTCACAAGGCAATAAGACAGTGCCACTGCACGCAGTCGATACTCAGCGTAGCTACCCGAATTTCTGGTTTTGGAGAGCAATGACAGCACTGAGAATCAGATGTTCTTCAATGCTGAAGGCATTAGGAAAGTAGGAGCACAAATAAAATACAACAATATAAATACAAGAGGAGAAGAAGAATTCAAAAGCAGTTTAAACATCCAAATTCTGTGCTTGGGAAACGTTTTCTAGCCACTAGAGAAAAGCGCTCTGCATTTTAGTTCATTCTTAGAAGTACACTTGTCCCTTTACCAAGAAGTGCTTTAAAGGCAACTTACAGGTACTGGTGGTGGAGAGACTGATCTCTGAATAGGCTTCTCTCTGTCTCTCTCCCGTGAAGGCCTCTCAGGCTTTTCACTCTTTGCTTCAGTAACAATGGCCTTCAGCTGCTTCAGTTTTTCATCTTTGACCCAAAGTTTGTTCTGCATTTCCAGCTGCTTTGCAGCTACACGACGCTCCTACAAAGATAAAGAGAAGAAAAGCATGAAGAACTTCACACAAACACAGACTATTTGGGCTACAAGTGTGTAGATAATTCTATACTCCACATGGAAAGATATTCTCTCCCTCTGAGATACAAAGCTGGTCAAAGTAATGATGTACCAAACTAACAAGACAGACTGCCAAGGTTACGTCTAATGCCATAAATACTTTGCTTCCTAAATCAGGGAATGATTTATGAGGAACAGCACTGAGGGCAACAATGAGGGCGAATCAGAGCACTGCCTAACTGTAGATCTGTCAATAGCACTGAAGAAGTAAACAGTCCTGTAGTAGCTTAAATTAATTCCTCAGACTTCCTTTCCTTACTGCTCTCAAAGTGCAGTATCTGAACAAGAGTTTACATGAGGACAATGGGGAAAGCCTGATATTAGGCTTCTCCTGACAGCTGCCAGAACAAAAGATTCACTCCTCAGAGAGCCATATACCCAAAAGAACAAGTGCCAGATACCAAAACTAAGTGCGCAAGAGAGCTGCTCTAGCTGCATCATGGGCCCTTGAGGAATTCATCCTATCATACAACATTTATAAAATTTAGGAAGAAAACATCTGCTCAAGTCCTCAATTAAAAGCCAAATGCATCTTCACTCTTAACAGCATCAAGAAAACAAAGAAAAACCTTGAAAAGCAATCAAGCTCCCCAGCTCCCTCCAGCATTACTCCTTCAGGCAGCTCTCACACAGGGCAATATACTCACACACTCCTTCTCCCATTTCGTGGTCGTTTCAGCAACCATGCCTTGCAGCCGTGCCTCCAACCTGCGCTTGTCAGAAACCTGACGTTGCAGCTTCTGGCTCTTGCTCTCTAATTCTTGCTGAAGATGACGCTTATCTTCTTCATAAATTGTAGCAGTTTTCTCTAAAATCTCAACCTGGAAGAAGAGAGGAAGAACTTTGCTATGCCCCCAGTCAACACAACCATCTAAGCCTAGAAATGCAGGTTATGTCTGCTTGTGCTTATGATGCATCTTATGAAGTGAAGAAGATTGCCAAGAGCTAGACAGAAAAAGCTTTTCATGCTTAGGAGCTGCATAGCTCAGAACAATGAAAGAAAACTAACCTTGTATTCCAAAGTCTTAATTTTCTTCTCCAGGTGTTCTAACTCTGCTTTCTGTCCTGTTATTATTTTCTCTTTCTCAGACAACTTTCCTTGAACATAGTTTTCTTTGGACATAATGTTGGAATCAAGTTCTCGCAACGCAGTTCTGAATGTAAGCACTGCAAGAGATTCAACATTACTTTCTCATCCTTTCTTTCTCCTACTAACTCGACACTACCAGCTACTTCATTACCTCAGTGAAAGTGTCTTTAAACCATTAACCTAGACAAGGTAATTATTCCATATTAGTACAGAAGAGATGCTTGAGCAGCAGTGAGGGCACCAAAAATCGAGCTCTACATCAGTGCTCAAATTCTTACCATTTCTGGCAAACTCCTCTGACAACTTTTGTCGTAGTTTATGGCGTTCTTCCAGGACTTCAATAAGCTTTGGAAGTGTTTGATCATCATTAATATCCAATAGCTCGCATGAAGGCAAGGGAGGAAAGTTCCGCAAAAGTATTTCTGAAGCAGATTGCTCTTCTGTTTCTGTAAGATTTAAAGCCAAGGAAGTCTGTCAGCAAGCTGGAGAACAAAGTTCTCATTTGACAACACATAGCCACAGATCATTCCACAGAATTATGAAGGAGACAGAGTGTAGAATTATTAATGGCAACTACATGTTTTCTGAATAGATGACAGTACTGAGAAGAGATTAAAAGTGACATTTTTTATTCATTCCTTACAATACCTCCAGGCGAGTCCTAATTTCTAAAGTAAACCCAGAGCCTACAAAAGCATGGAAGCATTATCTTCAACACAATCTCTTTTCTAGAGTTGCAGTAAAGGGACCCTGAATTCAGCTCATCAACAACAACAAAGAATTACTGTGAGAATTGTAGCTTAAGCCCAATTACTGTGTAAACAGTAGCACAGCATGAGAAGAGCAATTCAGGTGCAGCTACAACAGAGAAAGCTCACCACTAACAGCTCCTTGCGTGTCCTCAAGGCTCAAGCTTATACTTAAAGAAGCCTTCAGCCCCTAAGAACAGACAAAAAGGCACTTGCTGTGAACACTCTGCGTCCTCCTGTTTACCTTCATTAATTGGGCCACCTCGGATCTCCAGTTTCCTGGCCAGCTCGTCTCTGAAGGCCTGGTTCCTGAAGCGCCGTCCCGGCGTTAGGCCGCACAGCGGTCTGTCCACAGGCCTCGCAACCTCCACCTCCTGCGTCATCTCTGCAAAACGCATGACTTGCTGCAAAAGGACAGAGGCAAGCTCAGCAATGCCATAAAACAGCAGCTACCCAAAGCAAGTTTGGAAGCGATACCTTACATCAACAGAAGTTTTAGCAGAGACGTTATCGACATTGAATCTGAAGTGTTTCCCAGCTTGCAAATCTGAAGTACAGCATCTAAAAATCCCTCCCTAGTAACACCTTCCCTCCCTTCATTCCTCAAATCTGACTGTGCAGATATCTCAAGTTCTTGCAAATATTGTCCTAGTGGGGATAAAGCACCTAAATACAGCTATTGGGACTGCTGTAAGTAAGAGAAACTTCCTATGTTGCACACAAGCACTTCTGAGAGGCAACATTAAGACTTCGAGGGCACGTTTGCCCTGCATTACATCTGATTGCCTGAAGCGTTCAGACAGTGTAAGTTATCATCCCTGCCACCTACAAACTAGTACAGTAATTCAGAGCTAGCTGTGAGAGTAGGCAAGGATAAGGACTGCAAGAAAGTTACCAGGCTTTCCTCGTAGTCCTCAGCTTTAGGGTTTACACATACAATCATACGCACTTTGCCTTCACCATCAAAATAGTTCTTGAAGAGATGAGTCAGTTTGGAATCTCTGTAGGGCACCATCTTAAAACAAAGCAGAAGGAAGTTCTAGTAAGCTTTTATCACACCAGCTTATTCAAGAGATAACTGAATGAATGGCAGGTTGCATACCTTATTTGTTCCATACTTCTGGTTTTCCCGTAGAACTTCAATACATGTTCTTAACGTCATTAATGACTGATTAATATTACCTTAAAATAAAAATATAAAAACATCTCTGTAAGCAGCTATTTGCATCTTATTTCCAAATGTTGGAATGTTTATTTGTTTTTAAGATAAACTGTCTGTACCCGTAAGCCAGTTGTTACTGACAGCCTTTCCAAGTAATCTGAAGCACACACAAATGCAACAAATGCTGCCAAAAATTCCAGTTTCCAAGCTGGAGGATTGAAGACCATCAAATGAGATAACCAAACATCATAACAGAACACTTAATGAATCTTCTCATGGTTTCTTTACCAGGAGACAAGATTAACACATGCACAGCCTAGCCCATACAACTCACAGGCAGTCTGAACACGGTACATACCTGCTTCTCGCAACCTGTTCCCTTCAGCTTTTGTTCTGTTAGTCCTTTCACTTCCAGCTAGATCAACTAAGGACAGCTGGCTTAAAGTAATCTGTTCCCTCTCCTGTTATGGGAAAGAAATTAGGTTAGGCTAATTATTAGCTCTATTCTCTGCCTTGTAAGGGGGCCACTGGGTGGGCGGGGTGCAGGGAAACATCCCTCACAAACCCAAGCCAGCACATTTAAACACATATTACACCTTCAGACTAAGATTGAGAGTGTTTTTATAGCCCTTAATAAATGCCTCATAGGGTTTTTGTGAACAAGTTTATCAAATCCTTTGTCTTGTGGCACGAGATAGATTATATTAAGCACTCTTGTCCAAAGCCTCTAAGTCATACTCTTACGTTAAGGCGTTTGGCTCAAAACAGAGGAAGAGTAAATGAAAAAGCAGCTTTGCTGCTCACTTTGCTGCTCTATTTACAGGAAGGAGAGAAACTAAATACTTTAGAAACTCTGTAATTTTGATTCACTTCACCAAAAGTATGTGAGGTTCAATACGCATAAGTTTAAGTCAGTAGGCCATGCTGCAAGATTCACCACTCTTTCTCACTTCTACATCCATCCACACACACACACACACACACACACACACACACTTCTCCTCTGACAGCATGCCCCAGAATTTACCTGCAGCACATTATCTCCATCTGCATCCAGAGGTGCCTGAGCCAACTTGATCATGAAAACTCCATGAGACCGACTGGATTCTCGATTCAGCTGAGTGTTTGCAATACGCCTCTTCTTTTGCCCTGTTCGAAAGAATGACCTTTCCCTCCAAACCCCTGCTTCATGCAACAGATTTGCCACCTACCAAAGCCACTTTGTTTCCAGCATGGTAACGTAAACTCCACACAGACACATTATCCTTTAAGTTACATCTCAAGACTATTTACCTTTCCAAAAGACTTCAAAAGCTTCCTCGGTGGATTTCACCTCTACTTCTGTGCACCCCATGACATACATGTTGTGATTCTGGTCCTCACGAAGCATTTTGGATTGTGGAGGTCTTGAGGGCAAGGAAGAAAGGAAAGCAAAGTTTCAGTGGAGCTGGATATGCAGTAGTATATCATCTCATGCAAGATCTCTTTTATTTAAGTACACGATTCACTCTAAATACATCACACAGCAGATGGAAGCAGAAGTACAAGGACACACACTCAGCCAAGGTTAGTTACACTCCAGCTACTAATTTAGAAGCCACGTTTAATTGCAATTCTTACTGGAAATCATTGGTTTGTGTGGCAGCTATTGCTTTACTACATGCATATGGCTCATATAGAAGCAAGATGGTTTCAACAGCGTTCTACATTCACTAGTAAAGCAAAGTAGAGACAAGGAGTCAGTTTATTTTCTGCTTCTACTGAAAAAAAATCACTCTTCAGTAGTGGGAGTAATTTGCTCAGGCACATACATAAAGTCACCGTTTCGCACAGGAGTGTTGCAATTGTTCCACCTACCAAAAAAACAGGATTAGAAATATTAAGTCCTTCAGCCCATGTCCAAGATCTTTTCATTTTTAATGCACTGCACCTTCCGTAAATGGAGATTATCCAAGGCTTTTCCTAGGCTGATTTCTGGATATGATAAGCAACAAGCTAAACCAAATTTCATTCCTATTTAGAAAGCATTCAGATACTCAAACCCATTTCAAAGCAGTACCAAGCAGAATGCTCTGCGTTTCGATGTGATCAACGCGCTCTGTAACCCAAGTAAGGATACAAAGCAGGCAGGGTTTGTCCAGTGCACCGGGTGCAAGGGGGACAGATCTGCCTGACCTGCACCTGCCTGGAAAACTGGTGCTACAGACACAGGCTGAACTGATAGACAGTCAGTAGCTGTCCTGGAGTTCCATACAGATTCCTTACGCAGAGTTCGTTGGACGCAGAGCCTTCCCTGTTGCGCGTGCACAACGGGTTGTGGGATGAAGGTATGTTGTCTCCCTTTCATAACGACTTGCTTCACTCTAGTTTAGGCTTTGTAGATTGGCCATCTCCTTAATTAACCCACGTACAAGGAGATACACATAACTTTCTTGGACAGATTTGGAATTTTTAAAGATACGATCAAATAAGTTTGATTTACAGACTGCCTTTCCAAAGATCACAAGATTCACTGGTCCTGGATCACCAAGTAGATATCTTTCCAAAAAAGCATCCAGAATTTCACTTGAGACTATTCATCTCTGTTGCTAAGGAAATGATTGGCACCAAATGGAAATAATATACAAGCTTTTGCCCAATATGCAGTTTTCCAGAGGAAAATGCCAGCTATGGAACAGCCTGCTCTTCAAGCCGTGGTCACAAGCTAGGAATAGCACTTGCAGAATAGCTCCAAGAGACTTAAAAACTCAGTAGGATACAATGCTGCCTAAAAAATTAAATATTGACTTCTTTATCTTTCGTTACATTAGGAAAACAAGCACTAAATCTTAGCAGCAACAGAACAACTCAGAGCACTTCGATACCACTGTCTGGATTCCTTAGGCATCACCTCATTCTCTGTGATTTTTGGAAGCAATTCACCTGAACTGAGCCAGATTTGCAGAGACTACAGTCACAAAGACATGCAATCCTCGCAAAAGCTTCACCTCTCTAATTATTATATATATTATAATTATAATAACTAATATAATTATTATTAATATCTAAGTTATTCCTACTAACTTGGGTTTTATCAGGTCAAACGAAGTCTCTTCCAGGAGGTCATAAATGTAGTTGTTGTAGATCTCGATGTAGGAGACAAAGACACTGTAGACATTATCTTCATCAACTTCTTCCACTTTGCAGTGATCTTGCACGTTGATCATATCAGCAAACTCTGGATCCACCTGTCGCCTGTTGATCACACACAGTAAGGGATTGTGATGAGGCACAGCCAGCTACCTTGGCTGAGGAGCCAAAGCACCAAGCTAACTGACAGTTGGTGTGACTGGAGGAGAGAAATGCATTAGGAACTAAAGCCAACATATCCAGTTTCAGGTGCACTCAGAAGAAGTGAAATAGACAGATCCATCTACCCAGTACTGCTGCACTCAGCTCCAGAAAGAAGCAAAATTTCTGGACAGTTAACATTGCAATCATACACCACTCACAGTCTCTCTATTTTACAAAACATCCTCAAGTTTAACTTCATAGTACCCTATATAAACAGGAGGGGAGTCAACTCTTTACAAGGGTAGATAATAGCAGAACAAGGGGAAATGGTTTTAAGTTGAAGGAGGGAAGATTGAGGTTGGATGTCAGGGGGAAGTTGTTTAGAGAGAGAGTGGTGAGGTGCTGGAGCAGCTGCCCAGAGAGGCTGTGGATGCACCGTGCATCCCTGGAGGTGTTCAAGGCCAGGCTGGATGGGGCCCTGGGCAGCCTGGGCTGCTATGAAATGTGGAGGTTGGTGGCCCTGCATGTGATGAGGGGTTGGAGATTTGTGATCCTTGAGGCCCCTTCCAACCCTGCCCGTTCTATTATTGCACGTGGTCAAATCATAGCATTTGGAAACAGATACCAGAAAAAAAAAAAAAGCTTATGTTGCTCAATTCTAAAGCTTAGAATCGAAGTATTCCCCTATGCAATTTCCCATCCTACATGGAACATAACACACTAAACTGCCATGAATGTCTTCTGCTTATTTGTTGTTTTCTTCCCCCCTCCCCCCCCCCCACCAGAATGAGATAAAGACATCAAGATTACTTGAAACCAGTTTCAGAACAACATTTACAGTAACTCCTTTTTCCTGCATGTTACAACAGTTACTTACTTGCCAGAAGCCTTGGGAACAGGCGTGGCGTCTCTTTTCTGTCTCTCTAACAGAGCATCTACTTCACACTGAACATCCACACCATTCTTGTCGTCAAGCTTAAAAACCTGAACAGTGAACATGTTTAGACAATACAGTGACAAACAGTAGTGAACATAAGGTGTTGGCCAGCAAAAGACAAGTGATTTGATCAAGCTGTCTGGCAGCCAGCAAATACCACACCCCCTCACTAACACTCAATCTGCTAGCTAATTCCAAGTAGATTTGACAGAAAACAGGTACTTCCAAAACAGTATTTCACAAAGGCTGCCAAGCTAGCAAGGAAAAAGCTTCCGGTATTGTTCCAAATAGATTTGGATTGGGAATTAAAAAAAAAAAAAAAAAAAAAAAAAGACTTCTGAAGAAAAGAAAAACATCATTTTCTATGTTACTTCAAATACAGAATGAGATTTGTCTCAAGATGCAAAGGTCACAAAATCTTCGCTCGGACTCTTCTTTTTTTACTGAAGTAATTAAGAAATGAGTAACAATTAGAAGGACAGTTAGACCATACATCTTCTTGATGTGCCTGTCCTGGATACCAGGCCCATCTCTGTGGTCCTGCTTCAGAAACCCAGAGTTTCCTGGGGCTACCTTCTGCTGTCGTTTAACACAGGAGGCATTCTGAGCAGTGCTTTAGGTTGTTGTGAGCAGCAGAGTGGAGAATTTGGTACAAAACTACTCACAAATCTCTTGGCCTGGAACGGCCCTATGCTGTTGAAGATCATGGCCAAACACCGTGGAAGCAGCCCTCCATCACCAGGAGATCCTGTCATAGTGTGGGTTTTACCACTGCCTGTCACTCCATATGTAAAAAGGAGACCTAGGAAAGACAGAAGAGTCCTGCAATCATGCTCACAGCCTCAAAAAGCATCAGTTACATTCACACTGTTTCTTGGGTAAAACATTCTTATGAAAGACTCCTGCTGAGCTATCTATCAGTAAGCTCACCCCAGTGCAGCAAAAGCCACTCTTAGTCAATACAAGTACTGAGCACCTGCATGAGTCACACTTCAACTGCTAATATCTGCCCTGTTTTGGGATCCTGCATTTGGAAGTGAAAACAAACGTAGCCTCTAAGCCCCAGGTGCAGCAGCCTGATTTGCTCTGGCTGTTACAGGGGAGCTTGACATTAACCTCAAGGTATCAAAGTGTGCCTAGGACAAATTGATTTGTTTCTATAGTCAGTCTTTAGGAGAGTATCTGACATCTTTCCCCTGAAAAATATGTTTCTTCACTTAACAGTGCACAAAAGAATTATACCTGGACATACAAAGCATCCCAGGGAACTTGTACAGGGGAGCTAAACCACAACTGTTTCCATTGCAAATAAGATGTATGTATATATGCAAATAAGATGTATGTACACAAATATATGATGATATACGTATATATTTTATCTAGACAGGATAAGAAGCCTTAAGACATGCAAAACCATAACGATACCAAAAAAAGACACACAGAGACATGAAACAAGGAAACCCTTACCGTTCTTCCCATGAATGAGATCTTCCACGAGAGGCTTAGCCACTGCGTCAAAAAGCTCCTTTTGAGCCACAAGGGTACCAAACACTTCTTTAAACGAATACTGCGTCTGAAGTAAAGAAGACACATCACCCTAAATCTGAAGTTTCCCTGCCCAGAGGCTCGTTGCTTCAAAATGCTTCATTCTTTTTCCCTTAGCTCAACAGAATAACAAACCACTTGAAGATTACACCCGTGTTTGAACACACACAGTTGCTCCACTATAGCTCTTTAATAATCACTTCAGTTTGTATATTGAAGAACAGCAACCTCTGGTTTTCATAGAGCTTATGTCCATCAATAACCACAGTGATCAGGGAGCCTGACCTCACGTGCAAATAGAGAAGCTCACAACCTTCAGTTTCAAGCTCAAGTTTTTGTTTGATCCCCAGCCTTTACACAGATACTGAAGGAACACCAAGGACGCCGGCAACAGATAAAGTCACATTCCAAAGTTTAATATTCTTGCTCATGTCTTTTCCCAGCCCAGCCTGTTTCCAGTCATAGGTTTGCAATGTACTTGGACGGATCCAGCCACTTTTCTTCAAAACACTTGTAAATATTTAAACATCACTTCATATCCTTTCAGATTCTCCCAGCACAAATTCAGAAACAAAATATCCTGCGTGCCAGCTAACATTCATTATGCCTTACCCACTGCCTGGGAACTGCTAAGTCACAGCCTGAACCTCTGATTGATCACCTGAGGTGAGCCATGAGTCAGCCAGAGGAGCACAGCTGAAGGCAATTCACCTCCGCTGCCAGAAGGGGTGCAGCCAGGCTCCACACCTCCTAGACCTATTTAAGAGCTGGGGAAGGATCTCTTCTGGAGATCACATCTACTGGTGTTTTGTGGGTGAGCCCAGGATAGGGGTAAGCCTTCTATTTATCCTTTTTTGTTATCATAGTCTGCTTTGCCTAACTCTCCTGTTTATTTTGTGATTATAACATCCTAATATTCTTTGATTATACACCCACAGAAAGAGATTCTCTCACTTAGAACTACTGCACTCTGTTGGGAACCTGTGATTAGCCATTTCACAACCAAACCACGCTCAGAGCTGAAGCACTCCAGCTCTTCATTCTGAACACATGCCCTAAAGTCCCCTTTCCAGTAAACACAAGAGTTGCTTGCTGTAAGTGACCCGCCACCTTCTTCCTACTTCACACCATTTCACCGCTTCAGAACAGGTTGGTTACAAAGAGCCCACAAAGATCAAACCCAACTGCCTGACCTCATCAGGGTTAACCAAAAGTTAAGGCCTATCACTGAGGGCATTGCCCACTGACAGCCACAGGACACCACCCACCCTGCTAGGAAGCCCATTCCAGTATTTGACCACCTTCATAGTAACTAAATGTCTCCTGATACTCTGATCCTCCATGGCACAGCGCTGTGCTGTTCACGTATCTCACTGGTTACAGGGGAGAAGAAACTACCCGCCCACTCTCCTCTCTTTATACATTAACTACAGCTTTCCCCTTCAGTACACACAGGGAAACGTCGCTCTTTGCTAAGCTTAAGGACATACCAGACATACCAACTCTTAACTCATTTGTGCCTGATTTTGTTTAGAGCTAGTTTCTAAGAACCAGAGCTTTGTGAACAAAACCTTCAAGAAGTTTTGCCAGTTTTATCTTTTTTCCCCCCTTTTGCTCTCACCCTTCCACCCTGCAGAAGCCTTTTTGGATATAGGGAATACAGAATGACATGGAGGCTCTGAAGCCTATCCAAAAGTACAACAAAGCTGCAAAGGAAAGGAGCCTTATGAGGAGCAGCTGAGGGAACTGGGATTGTCAGCCAGGGGGAGGCTCAGGGGACACCTCATTACTTTCTACAACCCCTGGAAGGAGGCTGTGGTGAGGTGGGGGTCAGCCTCTGCTCTCAAGTAACAGCAACGAGAGGTGATGGCCTGAAGTTGCACCAGAGGAGGTTTGGACTGGATATCAGGAAACGTTTCTGCTCCATAAGAGCAGTGATGGAGTGTTGGGATCACCACCCCCAGAGACACCCACACAGCACAGAGATGTGGCACAGAGGGACACGAGCAGTGGGCACAGAGGGCTGGGCTCAAGGATTTAGAAGGGCTTTTCTACTCTTCTGATCCGTACAGCAATTCTGTATATCGATGCCAAAGGAAGGCAACGGTACATTTCTGCTCCAAAGGGAATTTAAAACCTCTCTCAGAGCACTGCCTGCACCGGGCCCAAGGAGCCCTGGCAGTGGGGAAAAGAGCCCCGCGGGCCGTTACCTCCCGGTACTCCCCGTTGCGGAATATCCTGTATCCGTCGGGAGGGTGGATCTGCACCGTGCTCTCGTTGATCACCTCGATGCAACACTCCTGGTCCGGGCAGCTCAGCGGCCGCACCCTGCAGTACACCTGTGGGAGAACATGGCTGATCCACGGCCCGGCACTGCACGGCCCGGCCCGGCGCCCCCCGGAGCTCCGCACTCACCCCAACGGGGTCCTTCGGGCCGGGCGGCGACGCCTTCTTCAGCGCCGGCCTCCGTGGGGTCTTGGCCCTTCTGGGGGAAGGAACGAAGCGTGAGGGGCGGCCCGGACACCGCGTGGGAGCGGGACAAACCGAACCGAGATGACGGCCGAGGGGCCGGGATGGACTTACGCCGCCTTCATGCTGTGGGGACGCCGATCGCCGCGGGGCCCAAACTCCGCGCTGCCTCACCCGACGGCCGCGCGCCTGTTCTGTTCAAATCCAACCAATCGGCGCGCACGCCCGCGTGGCGTCATCACGCAGCGTTACGTCGGGGGCGCCACCTCCCGTCCCCGCCCCGGGGCGTAGGCCGCAAGCGTTGCTATGGTAACGACGCAGCGCGCCGCCTGCGGTCAGAGCGCCCCCTATCGGGCTGGGGGTGTGGAGGAGCGGTCCCCGGAAGGGACTGTAGAAAGAGATTTGTCCGAGGCGATAAATATCCTCTATTGCAATCTGCCCCAAAGCTTTTATTTCCAGATGTGAATACAGTGCAATCCACCAAACCGCTTCTCAAGGCCGTCTCCAGGTGAACAAGACGTGTGCTGCCCCAGGAGCAGCACGCCTGCTAATTTGTTCACGCTGGGAGGACCTGGGAAGGCTGCTCAGAGTCCAAAGCCAAACTACCGAGCAAAAAAAACAGAATGATGAACATAAAGTTGGCAGAGTCCTAAATCATGCCAGGTTTCTTTCCGGCTGCACATGTACTCCAGGTAAATAAGCTTTGCAATTATCAGCAATTATCTCCGAAGCAATTATTTTCACAGGCAGAAACAGAACCGTCCAAATCAGGTTAGAATACATCAGTGCCATCGCTCTATTAGTTTCCTCTCTTAGTGAAACAAACATTGAATTCAACGTGTTGAATAAACAATTACATTCCAGTGCTTATAAATATTAATATCTTGGTCAGCTTTCAAAGGAAAGTTTGTTATCAAAAGACTTAGTAGCCCCATAATATCTTTAACGAGCTGCTGTGTTGTCACTCCAAAGTGCATCTCTTCTACCTTGCGAGAGGTAATTACACACAAAACCAGTTATACACCCGTATGATTACTGAGAGACAGTGCTCCACAGCAGGCATCACTGCATCACGTGTGAGGTTCTGGGTAAAACCGACTGACGGCCCAGTGGCAAGCATCCTCAAAGCCCTGTGGAGCTATTCCGCATGCTCTTGGAGAAGCGATTCCCTTGGGAAGGCTGTTTGATCCACAGAGACCCGAGGTGCCCTGGGTATTCCCCTAAAACTAAATGTAAGGCAGGCTGCGGTCCACTCCAACCCCACATCGGTTAGGCACTTGGGTGCAGTGTCAGATAGTTGGGGTTATATCCCCAGCACCAGAAACGTTGGGCTCAGCCCTGGGATGTGGCAGCTTGCACTGCATCCACATCCTGCCGTGGGGCTCTGCTGCTGATCAGCATCATGGAATCACAGCACGGCTGGGGTGGAAGGGACCCCAAGGCACATCCAGTTCCAACCTGCTGCCACGGAGGGGTTGAGCAGGTCACCCAGAGCTCCATCTCCAGCCTTGGGCACCTCCAGCAATGGGGCACCCTCAGCTCTGGGCAGCAGTGCCACTGCCTCGTTGCCTCTGAGTAATGGATTTCCCCCAACATCTGACCACATCTCTCCTTTCTCAGTTTAAAACCGCTCCCCCTGACAGCAAGGACACCTGTGCCTCTCCATAAGGCAGAACTGGTGAATGCCTCTTGCTCTGGAAAGCATTGGCACGTAATCTCCCTTTTCTGCAGAAAAACTGTTAAAGATTATTTTAAATATTTCCGGTGATGAAATATCAGCTCGATTAAAAGCGTTTCATAACCCATCCCCAGCCTGAAAGCCTTATGTACAAACACCAGTGCAATACGTTTCGCCCTCCAACACTGCTCATAGAGCGCACGCAAAGAGTTCACCCTGTGCATCAGCTGCATACGTTCTGTGCAGCAGCAAACTGGGAACCCCCATCCTGCAGACCAGGTGCCCTACTGCCCGTGCAGCTTCTCCCTGTGTGAGGGTTCTGGTGCTTGGCAGAGCTGCGCAGAGCATCGTGCAATGACCGCCAACCCGATGGCCATGCACGTGCCCATGGGTGCCAGCACCTGCAGCAGCGATGTGGCTGGGAGCCGTGCCTGCCTCTCACTCATATCCATCAGGATGGCTTCCAGCTGGAAGTGCGTGCCAAGGATGCCGCAGACGTGGAACACCTGGTGGCTGTGCCCTGTGGGGAAGCCAAAAGTACTTAAGGAAACTCAAGCTTCGTTCAAACGCGACCGCCAGAGACAGAGACAAATCCCCTCCCGGAGCTGTGTTTATAAATGTGCGTTCTGCCTGACGAGGAAGCAAAGCTCAGCCTCCTGCTGCTTACCGATGTAGTCAAAGTGTCCCGGCGCGAGCCTCTCGGGCAGGTGGGTGGCGAAGATGAAGCAGGTGAGGAAGGCGAAGGCAGTGTGCCTGTAGTGGGCAGCGACCGTGGGATCCGCACAGCTCCACGCTGCGCACACGTAGAACTAAGGGAGGTGGCGGTGGGACAGAGTGAGCCTCTTGGCCCCCTGGGTCCCAGCACCACCAGCCCCACAGCAGCAAAACGCCCACCCCCAAAGACATTCAAGTTCCTCCCAAGCCAAGCCACCAGCCTGTGACTACGATCAGGCAGCAACACACAGCTTCAATGAGTGCAGCGCCTGGATGGGGGCAGGAAAAAATAACGCAATCTCTTTTCCTGCAGGAGTTTGTTTTTCTTTTTTAAAAAAGGACCTGTTTTCCCAAACGCTTGCAGGCTGAGCAGCCCCGCGTGTGAGCATACCCTATAGAAGAGTGGAATGCTGTCGAAGAGATACGGGTACACAAAGGCCAGCGTGCGGGACGCCTTGCTGAGCCACGGTCGCTCCAGCTCCAGGAACCTGCGGGGAGCAGAGCAGCACCAAGTGAGGCTGCAGCAGTGCTGGGTCACGGCTGCCACCATCGCAGAGCTGCAGCGAGGTGCACGATGCTCTCACCCTCCTGCTACGACTCCCAGACCAGGGTGAGGCCATCTCTCTGGCTGCCACCCTTGGCACGTTTCCATCCATCGCTTAGGGCACACCAGGAAGCAATTCTTTTTTTATTCTCCTGATCTTGCTGCTGATTTTTGCGGCCATTCATTTGCTGCTTCCCATCAGCGGCAAACAACTGCCTCCCCTGCTGTTGCTAACTGAGCTTTCACTCTTGTTTTTTTATTCAAGCTTTAAGAGCTTGGATTGCAAGCAGGATGCACCTGCATTGCTTTGGGACTTGCTGTGCTTTGGACCCTGCCTTGCTTTAGATTTTGCCTTGCTCTGGGCCCTGCTTTGCTTTGGGCCCTGCCTTGCTTTGTGGTAATGCAGCTCTCAGGCTGCAGCCACTGATGTTTGTTAATTAAGCTGTATTGCAGCTCGTGCCTGAGAGGCATGGAACATCTCTGTGTGCTTCTGTCTCACACCCTGCCAAGACTCTGCAATTGTCATTTCGGGGAATGCACAGAGTGACTGAAATCTGAGAGTTAATTAACTTAATCAGTTGCTTTTTTTATGGCATCAACCTTATAATAGATGTAGGAGCCTGTTGGTTATCATCATACCATATCTGAGGCAGGAAGCCTATGTCTGGATGGGGAGTGACATTCTGCATTGCATTGCCCAGGAAATCAACACTGAAACACTGGAATGGCTGAAATCATACGGTAACTGAAGAGCCACCCCAAAAGCAGAAGTGGAGCAGTGGGGCTCTCCTTGGTCGGATCCAGATCTCACAGAACCTCCTGGTGCCAAAACGTGGGGCAGGCGGCCAGGAACAGCACAGGGCCCCATTCACAGGCAGGAATGCCTTCTGCTGCAGCAAGGAAGCACAGACAGGTTTGTCTGCTCTGTGCAGGAGACTCCAAACCCGCAGGCATGAAAGGAGCCCTTGTAGGGCTGCTGCTCCTGTGAGGCAAATCGCATGAAGGTCATGCATGCTCACTGCAGCCCACCTGGCCATGCTGGTCCTGCGACAGAGGTGATCAGCCAGGAATTGACTACAAAAAAAACAACAGCCCAGCACTGAGCATGAAGCTGGAATGCAGCTGAGCCACTGAGATATTTTTTAGACTTATTCCAAACAAATGATCCGAGTCTGCTGGGGAGCCAAATCCCGCACACAAAGTGCTATCCGTGCGGTGAGACTGATGCAGGAGGGCTGCAGTCCCTCCTTGCAGCTCTGTAACACAGGGCTGGAGCCATGCACCATGCAAAAATACCTCTTGGGCTTTCCAAAATTAAAGCAGTGTTTCTGCATTCTGTTTGTCACGCTCTCCTGGTGCCAGCATGCAGCAGCACAAAACTCCCTTCTTCCCCTGCCTTGTTACAGTACAGCTACCAGTCCCAAAGCCCTATTAGTGACACTAATTAATAGTTATGCCGAAGCAATTGGGGAGGTACAGAGAGGGCACACACCTGGAGTAGCAGGCCAGGCTGGTGCTCAGCACCGTGTTGAACACCGCGATGGGGACATAGGAGCAGTGGAAGATGCTACCAACCCACTCTTCTGGGAACACATAGGCTGAATACGCCAGGGCCGAACCTGGATGAGGACGGGAGGACGTGGTGAGGAGCTGCCCTCTGCCCAACAGGGGCTCTCCAAATCCCAAATCCCATTTCACCGGCCTTTGGGCCAGCAGTGCTGCATGGCTGCAGCCCAAGCCCTCCCATCCCCACAGAATATATTCCCTGCAGGTTCCTTATCCCAGGATGAACCCCCCATCCTCACCCAAGCTGTACATGCTGAGCGCCGCGTAGTCGAAGAAGTAGCAGACGTGCCGGGCGCGGGCCGACATGGGGCTGAAGGTGTGAGCGCAGCTGGAGGCCAGTGGGTAGATGCAGCAGCTCAGGAGGTAGGCGAGCAGCGGCCAGGCGGGGGGGTCCCGGCCCCCCGGCCCCCACAGCCGCCCCACCAGCATCCACACGAAGTACCTGTGAGCACAGGGTGAGCGTCACACCCGCTGCGTCCCCTGCCCCGGCGACGTGGTGACAGCCGTGAGACTCACCATGCAGGGAGGAAGTGTGTCCAGATGTTGAGCGTTTCGTTGGTCATCTGGAAGGCGCTGAGGACACAATCAGCTGCTGAGATCCTCGGGGGGCGGTACCCACAGAGGATGCCCTGCTCCTGGTATCCCTGTGAGGTACAGAGTGGTGGCAGCGTCCCCCAA